TTGCACATCCAAGTGCTAACTAAAAGACAGCAGGAAGGTAGTGCATGGTTGCCCTCTGATCGAGAGCTCATACGGCATTGACAGTTTCTAGCTGAACAGGGGTCCATACAGCCCTGATGAGTACGGAGTCATTACCTTGACCGTTGAGTCCTGAAATCAACTTCGTCCACCCAACACGTACGTTAGACATCGACTCGCCGGGAGTTGAGCTCCCGGTTACCCTCAACCTGGTTTGGCCCGCCTGACAAGCGGTTTTCCGGGGTATGGCCACTGTTGCATCCAAACAGTTTTTTGGAGCCACAGGTGAGAGATGAGCGCCTGGTGGAGACCAAAGGGGCCAGCAGCCCTCTAAGTTAGAGGTGCTAGAGTACTACCGGGTACCTCATATAGAGACCATCCACGTGGTTATAACAGTGTTAATGCCTTCGTAAACCCAACACTGTAGCTCTCTACGTTTAATAATTTTTCCAACGGGATACAGATGGATGGTAGTCACGAAAACCCAGAGGAACCGTAGTGATCGGAATAGACACGAGTCACGAATAGCAGATGAAGTACAGAGTCGCGGTGGCAACTGTATGTCGGAATCTTCCGTCATCAAGAGGCAGGAAGAAGTAGCGGTTCATGTATTAAGAGAAAAATCAATGGGATTAAATAATATGTACAAATAAGCTTCGTTGGGTAAACAGATCTTCGTCAATAGCCTGCTTATATTCTTTGTCACACCGTTTCTATTTGAACATGACTTTTGATTGGTCGACTGTGGTCCCATGACCAGAAACTGGAATGTATAACCGCTTGGTCGGCGTTATCTCGTAGGATTGACTCATTACAGGAGCCTAGATTAGGATTACGCAAACCAACATTTGTGATAACCAATGCTTTTGACCCCGACAGGATTGGGTATAGCGACTCATTTTGCAACCATTTTTTGAGACAATAGCTGTTTCACTGACCCTGTTATTCTGTCTCCAGATCCTACCTGCCCAACTTAACACAGGGGCCTAAACATATGTTCTTGAATTGGGCAGTAAGTTTTGTCAGGTGTAGATTAATGAATGACGAGCTTCATGTATAAAATGAGCCAAACTCTCAACCTTTCCAGGGATAGCTATTGACCATAATCCAAGCAAACAACTCCAGCACAACGTATGATGGCTAATTCCTTCAGAAAGCCGACAAAAGTCTTCATGATTTTGTAGTATGTGGTTTCAACCAGAATGCCATTTTTGGAGCTCCGTATTACTGAAATCCTGCAGCAGTAACCAAGTGCATTTCTCGTATCATCGCTTGATAAGGAGATTGGATGTGTTAACCACGGTTAATATTTTTTGCGAAATATTTCAATGCGTTATTGAAAAACAGGAATTAGCAACAGTTCGTCTCCCATACATTCTCCGGATACGTCGACTTTTCCTTCTGAATCAGCTCAGGAAACTTCACCACAGCGAACCTTTGGATTGCAATATGCCCATGGTACCGGCTTTTCACAAAGAACGACTTCCCAACTTATCCCTTGGAGGACAGGTTCTAATCCCACTACCCCGGCCTGATTTTCCCCACTCTCTATGCTGTATGGCAGAACTTTGAAAATTGCACCACTATGTAATCAATAAAAGATTTTTTTAAATCAACCACATCATCGGACCGATAAAATCAACCAACAGTTTATAAAGACGAAAGTACCCAGATCTGTCTGTTATCAATGTCAGTCACTGGTCGGTTTCAATTTTTCCAACCATTAACCATACACTTTTATGCGCCGGTTCTGGTTGCTGTCTTTTGGCTGAAACAATAGAAGAATGATAAGTTAAACGATTGTTGATTTAAACTTTTGACGAGTACTTCATAACGGATGTGCTAGGAAAAGACGCACATGAAAATATCAACTTTCTGAGGCTGAGACTTGCAAAGGACTGTTTGGATTGTTCAGAAATAACACAGAACCCGAAATAAATTATAAGTGAGAGCTTTTTGACCCTTTACAGGTAAATAAACAGGTTGACATCACCCAAATAAAGACTAATCTTACACCGAATCCTTTTAATAGGGTCATCTCACAACTTGATCAACCGTTGCTTGGTAGCTGAGCAGTCAGTCAAGACAGCCCAAATGCTGTCGCCAAAATTCGTTCTGATTCATCCGCGGTCAGGTTAATCCAACCAGTACTTTCTAGATCTACATCTATGAGTGTGGCACGCAATACGATTCCTTTCATTTATGTATCTGCTATTGGTCTATACCATCGAGGAGGAAATTCTCTGATGAGCAGTTGGTTGTGGATATTTGAAGGTCAAAGTTATCGGATCAAACGATCAAAGACGTTCGTCCTTCACAGTGTGAACTTTCTTCAAATGATCTTCGTCAGGTGCAAGTCTAAATAATTTAGCCTAGTGGAAATACGAGTGCGGATTGGAAGTAATTTTACTGATTCTATTATAGGGAGCATCTAGATAAATAGGATTTGCCAGATAGGCCAACAAAGACAAATTATAGTCGATAACCGACGGAACTAAATCCCGTATCACTCTATATGCTTCAGAATGTTTGGAGAATCGATTGACTGTCGTACAAAAAAGCACCCAAAGCGATGAATCAAACGAAAGAACAATAGCACCTTCTCACTGTGCGCTGTATGCTAGAGTGACAAAAGTTTCTAATGGATCGACCTGTAAGTCGCGCGTTCCAATTGAACACTGTGCCCTAATTACCATTACAATCGTTGGTCGACTGCATCCTCTTTTGCTGAAGTTTCACCACGCACTTATTGCATGAAGGAAGTGAAAAGAACTATTGTCAAATGAAACAAACAGGAGACCCGTGGTATCCATCCATCCACAGTGTTGTGCACCGGAACAAAATGTAGACAGATACCAAATGCCAATCTACTAACGCTTAAAACCTCACACACAATGTTGTATCGCCCACGTGATTGTGGGCTAGCACATATATCGTAGAAAACTACCAAAACTAGGAACAAATCTGATTTACACTGAATAGCATGGCTGGGAAAAGCTACGATGTCACAGGTATCTAAACACAAGTAAAAGGAATAGAACGATGCACATCAGTGCATGTTCACGTGACGTTAAGTCCATCGGTTGAGGGTGCGTAGTAATTTGAATATCGACTGCGTTGTCAAACTGATGCAGTTATCCCTTTGATTTCAGTGGTAGTTTTATGCTGATGTGTTACGCGAACACGTGGAGGTACTGATAACGTCAAACCATGTGAAACATTTTTTCTCCGCTGGTCTCATGACACCTCACACTGTTCGGTCTGTGCTGCGTAGAACTGGATAAATTGCGCTATTAGAAACACCTATTAAGTTCATGTGCTATGTAACCTGGTGACACTAATCAGAAGTGGACATCAAATGGGTGTGTAAACAACTATCAACACCATAACATTATCTTCAAGTAATCATGAAAGTTTTCCTTAAGTGTGCCAACTGCTTTTTTCAAGCCAGTTCTCTTAAACCATGTTAAAAGTTTATAGGGGTGAAATGAAAAATACTGTGAGATGTCTACATTTCTTAGTCTCCTCAGTCGTTACAGCGTGGAACAATTTGGTATTTAAAGTTTTGATAACTATAATGGTTAAATGGACAACAGTCCAAGGAGGGGGAATCAGAATCAGTGCCCTGTGGCAATTTGGAGGCCATCGGCTTATCCCGTCTGCGAAGCACCGAAGAAATGCGTTTTCCCCAGATTGACCTTCAAGGGTGATCACCTAATGAACGACGTGCGTTAGAAGCTCAAAGCCGCATTGCGTCGAACATTTCCTGTCTCACAGCTTAGACAGCCACGGAATTTGTATGGAAACCGAAAACAGTTAGCCGCCCAACTCTGCTTCCCATGTTATCTATCAGTTCGCCGACAGTTGTGGTGACACTTAAATCGGTAGAACAAATCGGTCCCTGACACAACGGAAGTCCGAACACATTCCCATGTGGTTATTACAGTCAATGACGCAACATAATCTCAGAGGTCAATATGGTAAGAGAAATCCAGGGTCATAAACCGCAAAACATCTCACGACAACTGCACACATGGTTGACTCACTTTTATCGTTCACGCGGCTGTTACGTAAGATGCAACCAAGGCTCTTAGCCTTGCCCTTTGTGTACGCAAACGTTTCTGGGGTAATCAGTGAAATTGCTGCGTTGCCGATTCTGATCCCCTCTCTCCCGACTGTTTTGTTTAACCACTGTAGTAATTAAAACTTCCATGTATAAATACCAGATTGGTCTAAGTCAAAGCGACTGAGGATTTTTTTTAAATGTAGAAATCTCACAACCTTGGTTTGCTCTCAAATCTAACGAATCGGATAAAGACGAGCCAATGTTTCAGGCTAAAACGAAAAAAAACGAAAGGTTGTTATTTACATTTTCACACCATAATGTCTGTACAATCATGTCCAGATATCTTCCAAATAACGACGTTCATCACACATGCGTTTGATGTAAATTTGACCCTGTAACTCCTCAGTCTCCGTCGCGGGGTCACTTGTGTCACGAACAAGCGCTGAACCCAACAGTTCGCTCCAAGCCGCGCGGATGGCCGGAGCCATCGCTCTGGCCTCTCCGCACACCATAATTGTGGCATTCCGGGACAGAATCCATTGAGCCAGTTCGTTTTCGTGCGTCCCCGAGGAAAGCAAACAATTCTGTACGTAACGCGCCTTGGGATGGAAACAACTGTGTGTATTCAGCGTATCAAACGCCTCTGTACAAGTTGGAATTGTCGGACCATCACAGGGGGTTGTGTAACGGGAGAAACACAAACACAATCGAGACAGGACACCGTCCGAAAGAGCCTTTGCCAGCTGGTCGGGAAAGAGTAAACTGGTGAGCGGTGAACGACATCCGTAGATCAACCACATTTCTCGCTTGGTGGAGGAATTCTGTCAAGACACATAAGCAAAAGTAAACGACGTATTGGCATATTGCCTAACAATAGAATTTCACTTCCCGTACCCTATTTACCGCATAAATAACATTAGGTCGACCCATTAAGTGAGATAAACGATTGGTCAAATTAAGCGATGATTCCGTTCATAAACAGAGCAAAAGGAACAGTGACAAAAAATGGTGTTTAGTTTCATCAGTTGCACGAAAGGTACTCATCTCAACCACCCCAACTCGACGCTACTGTTGGACACTTTTAACAACAAACTGTAATTTTACAAAACTGCCTTAACCAACTGGAGCATGATCGTGTTCTTGGGCGTTGTTGCCGGTTGAGCAAAGCAGTGCCGGAAAGATGGAAAACGAATTGTCCAAGAAGAAAATTTATGGAAATACACAGCACACTTAGTCCAAAAAGCGAAACAAATGTGAAGCTAATTACTTACATCCGTACCTATGACGTGAAACGGCTCATGCATCAAAGTGATCAGCGATCGATCGTGGATAAAAATGATCATTTTCTATTATATATACAGCAGCAAAGAGGAAATTCTTGTCCATGAATATTTTTTGACGATTTACCTTCAATCTTTGACGGCGCTCTTCCTCGATAAAACACACGAACGGCGCGATACCGGTACCTGCGCCCAACATGATTATCGGCACTGTTCTGTCCACGGGGAGCCGAAAACCATTCAGATTAATTCGTCCGTAAATCCCGGGTAGCGAAACTGAATCAGAACCGGGTGACCTACAATTCCATACCCGTTCCAACCAGCCCGAGCAAACACCATGCGTGCGATATGGATATCGACACAATCCGACAGGTTCCTCCCCTGTTGGTCCAGTAAAATCCACTCGCGTGAACACAATGGAAAGCGACTGCGCGGACGAACGCTGACGTTCTGGCGGATTTGTTATGGTGTACGCTCGAGGTTGCAGACGCGGAAGAATATCGAGCAATTGCACCAGTGGAATACGACAGGCGGGGAATGATGCCAGCAAATCCATGAGTGTCACGTTTGGTTCACGGATGTACCTGGGATGAATTGGAATGGTAAACGATCCAGTCGAATAAGATTTATATCTCAAAAATAAATGCAGTTGAACAGTATTTTATGGAAGCCTATCGAATGGTAAAATAATCACGAGCAACAATGTTGAGGAAGTATGGTAATTGCACTCAGCACATCAAGTTTGTCGTGTTGTGCATGTAATCATATTTTACGTAATAAGTATAAATCAACATGAAATGGTTAAACGAAATCCTTGCTATGGAAAGGACGTGAATCGGGAAATATTCACGGTGTTGTTATTTGACAATTAAAGACCTCAAGGTTGTAGGTACGAGAGAGTTTCATAAACCGGCTATTCTGAAGGTGGGAAGATATTTAACTGAAATCTAGCTATACAGCAATTGAGAACAGACATGAAGTGATGGCGACAGCCGATCTGCATTTGACAGACGGGAGCGTGAGAAAGACGGGAACGGAAAGAGCAATCTCTCAGGGGCAGGAGCAAAACCAATGACTGCAAAAGGGGGCAACTAACCACTCTGTCTAGCTCCTCTGTAACAATTAATCAATGCATGCGTGCACTTTATTTACGGTAAAACTACCCCACCGAAATGTGGAAAGTGTTCAATTTCATGTACATCAAAGTATCATCCAAATAGAAGATAGAACATAAGTGAACCGGGGAAAGAGTTGTGCGTATGGGGCGATATTAACACTATCATTATTAGTTGTAGTATTATCATCTATTTAATAAAATCAGTCGCAATCAATTAGAGTCAGCTACAGTCCTCACCCTGCAGGTAATGAAGGTGTACCTTAAAATACTCTGGCGAAAGTAGCTAGCTATTGATCCCACAAATACGGGTTCCAGTCGTTATACCATTATATTCTGGGCACTCAATTTCCAATGGACGCCCGAGGAGCCAAACACTTTCCCTCAGTGTATTGTTTCCGACATCGTAATTTTCCAATACGCATGTCAAAAGAAAAAGAAACAGACCTTATGAACGTGCCGATAAGTAACTAATTAGAGCTTTCTAGCACCCAAATAAGTGGTACTAGAGAAAGGAATAAAAACCATGCAATGAATAGAGTACGATGAAAAGGGACTTTCAGATAAGAACGAATTTGTTTTTGAAATCACTCAATTAAGGTGGGGGGGGGGAGGAGAGACGAAGAGAGGCATAATGTTCCACAGCGAGGTGATTCTGGGTGGAAAGCAATAGCGTGCCGTTTTTTCGAAGCCACTTGATCAGAGTGAAAGAAATCGCATTTGATTTGACTTCCTCGATGTTTCTACGACTTCTCTAAGAAACATCATGAAACCGTCTTTGTCGATACAAAGATTGAGCAAATGTTGCAAACCAAGTGCTTCCCACATACGCTGGGAATGCAAATCAATGCTGCAGACCACTTCACACCTTTAATTCTGCATTCCGATTTTTTCAAAAAATTGTTACTGATCGTGATTTTAACGAGCCAACTAAATGGGATTGAAAAAGACTGCCCAAAAAGTTAGAACCGTTATCACTGAAAACGCGTATTTTTGTATTTTTATTGAAATTAAACCGAACGTTGGTCTACTGTAATATTTCGGCTTACTTTACAAGCAACGCGATTGGGAAATTTTCGACAACCAAACCATTTCCCTTAAGGTTGTCCGAAGGCGATCAGAGTGTGTTACAATTTACGAATTTGCGTGCCACTGATGGAGGTGGTGTTAAGTTATACATTGAAGCATTCAGAGAACACTGAGAAATAAACCCACATACTTGTCGAACAGTGCAGAACCTTCACGACTAGACAATTCTAACAACCTCTTTGATTGTTTCTCCGGTTTGGGGAAGTTTGGATCCGTTACATTTGGGTCCATCTCGGTACAGCAATCAGCCAAAATCCGTGTGATTCGGCGGGTGACCGGAATATGAAGTTCACAGCAGTAGGTGAGCAGAAAGCGAGCAGTTACTAGCGTGTCTGGCAAAAGCCAAGATGGGGGAGCTTTCTTCTTCTTGTTCTCGAGTACACTTAGAACACAAAAAGGTTTGTCTGCGTGCTCAACCACCCCAAAGTCGATGCGACTGATCAGCCATTTGACATCGGTATCGGAATTCGGGCAAAGTAACCCGATACTATCCCCAGCCTCATATTGAATGTGTTGATCTTCATTCAAAACGATTGTAGCACTGAGATGTGAACGAGTGAAAAGAAGCAAAACAGAAAGAAAACGATGATGAGATAGCAAAATGAGCAACCAAAAAATAAACCGGAAAGAGAACATTAAATAAGTAAAACAAACAGACCTCAAAAAGTCGCTTCCTGAAGCTCAATTTTCTCTTGGGAATTCATTTGAATCTTCATTTCGGGTTACATGACTAAAGATGTGTAGTCTGTTTTACACACATTGAAACACCGCAATTGTACTGATTAAAATGATTTAGAGAATATTATTGCATTCTGAGTGTTCGATTTGGACAACAAGCTTGAGGAGCTAAACACAATTTTACTCGGTCTACCGCATCAATCACTGCAATTTTCCAATGAGCATATGACAGGAAAAGAAATAAACCTCATGAATGTGTCGATGAGTAAATACTTAAGATTTTCGTATCACACAAATGCATTTAATTTTCGTTTAAGCAACGATTAACCTCGCAACTTCGTGCGCCCGTTTTGGTTGCTGTCTCATGACTGCCCATTTGGATGGAGGAGTAAAGGGGAAGATTGGAATGTTCAAATCAGTGTCAGAGTGAAAATAGAAAATTCACGAATACTAAGGTCATTGAAAAGGTGCATGAACGAAACTTAGTCACATCACTCAAAGACCTAACCATCGATTACGCTGATCCCGATGTCCCCATCCAGGAAGCATAACGCAACCTATGTGACCGAGTCAAATGGTCAGGGTTTTCAATTTTTGCTAAATAGTTCACCTATATAACTCAAAGGATACGCTGTTGTTTGACAAGGTGTCCCATCTGTTTACGATCAACCGCGGAATTGCTACCTGTCTCGGTGATTCACGCCATCTTGATGCACGTATACATCATTCCCTGAATGCTTCGCTTTATAAAACGCTCACTATCATCATTATCATGGTACAGCGAAATACAGTGAAGCGAACTTCACTGATCGCTGCCAAACTCGCAATGCATACAAGGTTAGTGATAAAATTTAAGGTGGACAGAG